TATATAAAATATTTATTTATTTTATTAAGTATACAGTATTCTGTCTGCGTGTATGCCTGCAGGCCAGAAGAGGGCACCAGACCTCATTACAGATGGTTGTGAGCCACCCTGTGGTTGCTGGGAATTGAACTCAGGACCTTTGGAAGAGCAGGCAGTGCTCTTAACCTCTGAGCCATCTCTCCAGCCCCAAACATTAGATCTATGAGGTTAAAAGAACTTAGATCCCTGAATCACTGTGTGGAACAGACCAGCTCCTCCCCACACCGCTACAAATGCACAAATGCATTCCTGGGGAATGAAATTCCGCAGCAGTATCTGAAGATTGAAGGCCATTTGTCACATCTGTTAGCCTACCGTAATGCGAATGGTGTCAAGGGCCAAAAAGCAGCCACTTTAGCTTGTCCCCAACATCCCACAATAGCTCCCAAGAGCCTCTGCCTACCTGGCTGGATTCTACTTAGAGTCTTCATTTTGGTTTTGCTGTGGCTTTTGGCATGTCGGAGGGGAGGTAGGGGAGATGACTCCAGGCTCTTCTCTGACCACTGTTAGGGAACACAATGCACTACACGTAACACAGCTCCAGGGTCAGTGGGTTCGCCTCCAGCTTGCCCTTTTCAGGTCACCTGCATCCCAGAGCAAAAGACCTGAGCGCTAAGCTTCGATTTACTTATCTGTAAAGTGAACTTAATAACACAGCCTACATCCTTGAGTTGAGTTTGAGAAGTATTTGCAAGGCCTGCAGTGGTTCCGTGAGTGTTAGCCAGCGCTTTTGTTTTAGCGGGAAGCCAGGACTCACCAAGAACATGTAGGCCATGAAGTGCTAAGAACCTGAAGAAACAGAAAGCATGAAAAATACCCAAGACCCACCCTCTAGCAACAGGAGCAGTGATGAGATCAGTGAGTGAGCAGCTTGATTGACACCCCACCCCCACCCCGTGTTCTGATCCCCGTAATGAGTGCCATTAAGTGAAGTTCAGAGGCTTGCTACAAGGGCGCTGCTGGGCTTCACATTCAGACTTAGACTCTATCATGCTCACGACCATGGGAGCTGAGGGCAGGTGCAAGATAGGGTTACCCAGACTTCCGCCCACATCAAGGCACCCTGCCTTTCCCAGACTCACCAGTACTTGCAACTTGTGCCCTGTGGAGTGATTCCTAGAGTGGATGTGTCTGGAAAGAGTCGGGGGAGTGGGGGAGTTCCATCATACCCAGCCCAAGAGGGATCCTCTAACCCCGCTTTACCAAGCACAGCAGCAAGCTGGAGCCTGGAGAGCAAAGGCTGCGGAATAAATCGACGCATGCGTGCTCCGCCACCCGCCAAGCTCTCTGCTTACTTCTGTGCCATTGGGGAAAAGAGAAGAGTCCTGATCCTCCAGGCACAGACCGTCTCCAGAAGGCAGGGAAGCCTCTGCCACCTCTTGTCTCAGAATGGATCCCAAGGAGACTAGACGCTTTCACTAACGTCTGGTCTCCAAGGAAACGCAACTACGGAGAGCAGAGCGAGACTAACCTCGCCAGACAAAAATACCGCGGTGGCGGCACTTCCCAACCTGGTTCTTTCCCTTTTCGTCCAGCATCAACATCAAACTTTCATCAAACTTGCTTCCTCGTCCTCACTACTGACTTTGCTTCCTATTTCATCAAGAATATTGAGGAGATTTGGAAGCATAACATTCCTGCTCCCAAACACAGAGAGAGAGAGAGAGAGAGAGAGAGAGAGAGNAACTTGCTTCCTCGTCCTCACTACTGACTTTGCTTCCTATTTCATCAAGAATATTGAGGAGATTTGGAAGCATAACATTCCTGCTCCCAAACACACACAGAGAGAGAGAGAGAGAGAGAGAGAGAGAGAGAGAGAGAGAGAGAGAGAGAGAGAGAGAGAGAGAGAGAGAGAGAGACTTCTGCATCCATGGGTCAATTGCCACTCAAGACCAGTTCCAACACTTCCTCTCCAAATCTCATATGCTCCCATTTTCTCAAAGATATTGAACCAACCCGAAATCAAGCCAGCCCACTTTCCAGCGTGGGCGGGGAAGAGTTCATGAGCTATTGACAGACAGCTGATGGCTAGGGGAGTGAGAGTCAGTTTTCTTTAGGGGTAGCCCCTGGTGGCCACCCGGCCCACACCCATGTGTGCAGATAGCACACATTGAACTCAGTGGGTTGTGAAGGAAGAAAGAGGAGGAGGACATGAAGTTGGGAGGGGGAATGGGAGTGGACGAGGAGGAGTTGAAGGGGATACTGGGGAGTGCAGATGATCTCAGTACATTGTATGCATGTGTGAAACTATCGAAGGATAAATTAGGGGAAACTGGGCTTTTTGGGGGGAGGCTTGGTTTTTCAAGATAGGGTTTTTCTGTGTGGCTTTTGCTGGCCTGGAACTAACAGAGATCCTCCTGCCTCTGCCTCCCAAGTATTGGACTAAAGGCAAGTGCCACCATACCCATCTGACCTAGGCTCTCCCTGTATGTCTCAGTCCCCTCCTGTGTTTCCCCTACATTTCCTCCCTCTCCTTTGAAGCCTTCCCACTGCATAGTCAACAGATCTGCATTTCTTCTGTGCAAAAAGTGACCACTTCCCCACTGTCCCTCCTCCCACTTTGGGATCACTCCAGAGAGGTCGGCCTGCAGCTTTCCCCTTCTTCCCCCACTTCAGTAAGGCTCTCACTCTACCTCTTCCCTAAGGCTGCCCTTATCAGCCTCCCCTTTATTAAACCCCTTAGTCACTTCTCGCCATCACCTGATCGATCGGGCTTTCTTCCAGCACAGGACACAGCAAATCTCCTCCTGCCTTGAAGCATTTACTTAAGTCATTAGCAAGGAAGCTACTTTGTTGTTGTTGTTTTGTTTTGTTTTTTGGAGACAGGGTTTTTCTGTATATTGGTTATTCTGGAACTCTCTCTGTAGACCAGGCTGGCCTCAAACTCACAGAGATCCTCCTATCTCTACTTCCCGAGTGCTGGGATTAAAGGTGTGTACCATCACTGACTGGACTTAAGGAAGCTACTCTTTCGAACAGCTTTCTGCTTCCTTCTCAGTCTCCTCCGTTGGCTCTTCTTCTTCTTCTGTCTGTCATTATTAGGGTGTCTTCTTCTTCTGTCTGTCATTATTGGGGTGTCCAAGGCTCTGGTCAGGCCCTCACCATCTCTGAATACACTCTTACCCATTAGCTCGCTCTATGCCTTGTCTCTCTGCTGTAGGGCAATCAAGGCAGGATCACGAGGCAGCAGGTCCTCCTGTGAGGAAGGGGAGAGATGAGGCAAATTGCTCAGTTTGTTTTTTCCCTTTTATTCAGTCCAGGATCCCCCACCCCATGGGATGGTGCTGCCTACATTTAGGGCTCTCTTCCCACTTCAATTAACCTCATGTAGGAAATCCTCACAGAAGTCTGTTTCCATGGTAATTCTAAATCCCATCAAGCTAGCAATCAAGATTAACCTTCAGCCTCCTGGCTTTCTCTCTAGCCCAGGCCTCCCCCACAGAATTTCAGCTGCATACACCCAACTGCCAGGTTAATGTTGCGGCTTGGGTGTCTAAAAGGCATCTGTCTGTAACCTGTGCCCTCCCCTGGAACATTTTTCCTGAGCTCTGCATCTTCTTTCTCGAAGGCATCCTTGGCTTCTCTCTTATCTCGTGTGGGATATTCTGAACCCACTCTTCACTGACCTTGAATGGGGGGGTGGAGTTAGTGATTAGCAACCCAGAACTAACCGCAGACTTTTTGATGGACCCAGATTAGGATAGAGAGACACAGGAAGGAATAGGGAGGGGCTTAGAAATATTTGAGGGCCTTTTTGATCTGGGAATTGCGGAGAGGCAGGGTCAGCTCATCATTTTCTCCATCACTCTGTGGCTCTATCAGATTTGTACCCCAAAATCTGACTCCCAAGTTTTATTTAATAATAGAACAATGAAAGTAATCACTTCTCTTATCCCACAGCAAACCCATCAGCAAAACCTGGAATGGTGGCTCACATCTATAATCCCAACACTCAGGATGTAGAGGCAGAATTCACAGTTCAAGGACATCTTTGACTACATAGAATTTGAAGCCAGCCTGAACTTCATGACACTCTGTCTCAAAGACAAAACAAACAAACAACAAAAAGCAAAAGATCATGTCTGAAGTACCTTCAAAAGACATCTAAACTGGGTCACCTAACACTCAAACCATACACATACATACACACATATTCAAGACCCTGAACTATAGTGCCAACCCCCACCTTTGCCCTACTTCAGTTCTCTACACACACTAGGCTTGCTAAATAGAGCATATGGTTAAGACAACTATATTAGGGCTCTCTAACAGAATTTATAGGACATATACAATATGGGAATTCACTAGAATCACTTACAGGCTATGGTCCAACTGATCCAAAAATGCAATAAAGGTTGACTATGAATCTAGAAGTTGCTGAGTCCATGGGCTGAATGTATCAGCTGGTCTTCAGCAGACACTGGAATCCCAAAGAAGTGGGGCTCTAATGTCAGCAAGGCCAGAGCAAAAGCTTCGTTTTTCCATGTCTTTATATAGGCTGCCAATAGAAGATGTGGCCTAGGTTAAGGGAGGGATCTTCCTATTTCAAATTAAGCAAAAATCCTTCACAGGTCTGCCCTGTGGATTTTATCTAATTCCAGATGTAGTCAAGTTGACAACCAAGAATAACCATCACAGTCACCAAACCCTGGCAAGTTAGGAGCTGGAAGCTTCATTGTTTTCTGACA